TCAGCCGATGTTGTTCAGCATCCCATCATGGTCGCCGACCAAGCGGGAGCCTGGTTTGTGAGTGAATTGCGAGAAAGTCTCATGCGGGAGCCACCTCCCTACGGGGCCCGCAGATCATGTTACTAATCCGAGCGGGTCATCGGAGTCTTGGCCTACTTATCCGAGCGGGGCATCGGAATCTTGGCCTCTTCAAGCTTGAGCATGGAGGAAGCCTTAGTCAGGAGCCTCGTGTGTGAGTGAATTGCGAGGAAGTCTTAGGCGGGAGGCCCTTTATGGGGCCCGCAGCTCATGTTATTATTCCGACTGGGTCATCGGAACCTTTGTCTTCATGTTTGGCCTCTCCAAGTTTGAGTATGGAAAAAGTCTCAGGCGGGAGTTTCGTTTGCGAGTGAATTGCGAGGACGTCTCAGGCGGGAGCCCTATCCCTTTGGAGCCCGCAGCTCATGTTATTAATCCGAGCGGGTCATCGGCATCTTCTGATTGTCGTCACGTTTGGCCTCTGAAAGTGTGAGCATGGAGGAAGTGTACGGCGGGAGCCTCGTTTGTGAGTGAATTGCGAGGACTTCTCAGGCGGGAGCCGCCTTCCTATGGGGCCGCAACTCATGTTGGCCTCTTCAGGAAGACGTCTCAGGCGGGACGTCTCAGGTGGGAGCTCCTTCCCATGGAGCCCGCAGCTTATGTTACTGACCGGAGCGAGCCATCGGAATCCTGCAACTGTCGTCAGTGTTGGCCTCTTCGAGTTTCAGTATGGAGGAGGAAGTTTCAGGCGGGAGCCTCGTTTGCGAGTGAATTGCGAGGAAGTCTTCGGCGGGGGCCCCATCCCTACGGGGATCCCAGTTCATGTTACCAATCCGAGTGGGTCATCGGAATCTTGTAAGTGTCGTCATGTGTTGCTTTTGTAAGCTTGAGCATGGAGGAAGTCTCAGACGGGGTCTTCGTTTGTAATCAATCGTGAGCAATGTTCGAGCAAGGGCTTTCTACATATGAGGAACTCGCTTCGGCGCGCTCGCGCTCGCGCTCGGAATAGGGCGTCCATCCCCTGGGAACTGGAATCTCCAGCTGGCCTGCCACAGGCACTCGCGGGCCACTGGAGGAGAAGAGGAAGATGAGGAACAGGAATCCAGCAGGAGCCCTGATGGCGATCCAGGATGGGAGGGAGAGGATGGTGATTGAGGAGGGGAGGGGCATAAGATTGAGGAGGGGAGGGAGAGGATGATGAAAGGGCAGGAGAGCGGGATGAGGCAGGCGGAGCCGTTGGGTTTGATTACGTAGGTTTAGAGGGGAATGGATCGAGGAAATGACGACAGATGGGAGGGGCGACGAAGTGGGGAGGAGGTAAAAAAGGTAAAGGCGCTAAGGGGGCAAGGTCCAAGTCCCGACTCGACTTGAAAGCCCCTGCGTAAGATATAGATGCTGGGGGTCCTGACCATGTTGCCAAGGACCTCAGCCCAGCGGGTGTGGGTAGCGTCCTCGCCTTCGTCCACCGGCGGCAGTCGGGTGCCGTTCGAGAGACTACCCCCACCCACCTCCACCCCCACGGCGAGGACATCGCGGCCCACAGCCGCTCTGCGGGGAGAAGCCCCCCCCTGCACGTCGGAAAAGACAATCGGGTTCGGGCTAGGGCAGGCCACTTCAACGCATGGCGTGCCTCAACCCCTTTTGGGACTAGCTTAGTCAGGACTCTCCACAACCTACCCCCATCCTCCAGCCCCCTCCCCTGCCCACCACTCGACGCTGGAAGGGAAATGGAGCGCACGACTGTTTTACACTTATCAGCCCGAGTGTTCACGCTCCGACGCGCCAAACGCGCGCCAGGCCAACAGCCTGAATTTGTCATGTTCTTCCCGCGCACGCCTGGTCAGCATCATGATAGGTTCTCTATAGTTTGTCTTGCGTCCCTTAAGAAGCAACGGCGCGAGCTGATACTGCAACATTCTACATCAACGGTGCCGTGATATAACGATCTCCAATATTTTGCAATACGCCAACCTCGATCCTTGCAGAAATGGCACCACGCACTTTCTTTTCTTCGCATGGGAGCTCCATTCTGCAACACAAGCTTTCAAATGTCATCTCATCGCCGTGGGCCAGTCTATCATACAATATGTCTGTTACCCCACCGTTCACCTTCGGGTTGTTCTCCATGTCTCGCAACATGTGTTTTTTTACAGCCGCTGGGAAAACGTGCAAAGCCCCGTCTTCTTTCGTGTGAAATACTTATCCTTCCAGCAACAACAACTGAATGACAATGTTTGTTTCACTTTGGGTGCAGCTATCGTGGTATTATTCCCATATCTGAAAAACGTGAATGTCCACAGGCATTCCACAGTCATCAACGTGTTTTCTCGCGAAGTCCATGATGTATCCTTCCAGCACGCGTGGCTGCTGAGAGCTGGTTTCTTCACCTCGAACCCCGCTGGGAACAACACCATTGTCTTGTTCGTCTCTCTTGCGGTAGTGTTTATTGAATCGCTTCGCTCATTCCGCCGGCCCGTGATATGGCATCGCTGGTTTTTGTCTGTGTGTTCGTTGCCCATGTTGCGCTCTTGGGGGCGGGTGTCGTTCGGACGCGTTGCGTGGGGAGTTTTGATGGTGAAGCAGTTCCCTGGGGGTCGTCTCTCGATGGGGCGAAATAGAGTCGTCGTCAAGATGCTTCTTTGGGGGGCCTCTTGGGGTCTGTTGAGAGGCCGTTCGGGGGCGCCTGGGAGACATGTCCCTGGGGCCTCTTGGCGACATCTTGGGGCCTCTTGGAGGCCTCTTGGGCCTCTTTGGGACCTCCTGGGCGCCTTCTGGGACGGAGGGCTCCATTTTTGAGTTCTCGGTATCCCTCCTGAGTCCCTCTTGGGCCCGTCTTGGGGCCTCTTGGTCCGTCTTGGGCGGCACTTGGGCCGTCTTGAGGGCTCTCTTGGGTCGTTTCGGCGCCGTCTTGGGAGCTTCGTGGGCCGTCTTGGAGCGGTCTTGGGGGCCTCTTGGGCCGTCTTGGAGCGTCCGGAAGCCGAAAAAGCCAGAACACAAAAAACATGAAAAAACCAATGAAAATCAACGATTTTGGCCTCTTGGGGCTCTCTTCGGAGGCCTCTTGGAAGGCTCTTGGGGCGTCTTGGAGGCCTCTTGGGCTGTCTTGGGGGCCTTTTGGGCCGTCTTGGGGTCATCTTCGGCGTCTTCGAGCGCTCTTTGGGCGTCTCGGGGGCCTCTTGGGCAGTCTTGGGGGCCTCTTGGGGCACTCTGAGCGCGCTCTGGGGAGCCTGAGAGGCCGCACCCAGAAGGAAAACCATCTCTGAGTAGACTTGGTCGGGCGGCGGTCGGGCGTTGGTCGGGGTACTTTTCGCCGGGGGACCCCCAGGGGCCGCCCCGCGCGCGCGAACTAGAAATACTGTTAATACTGTTAACCAGTTACCGGAGATCTTAGCACGCCCTGGCCCGTTGGGCCGGCGAATTGTTGTTGTTGGTTCTCCCGTATGCGTTGTGTCAGCGACCCCATCGAGGGCAAACAGTCAGCTTTTGGAGTCGATTCATCAAACATGAAAGTAAACCCACAGCCTTGTATATCTTTCTGAACGTATTGCGCTCCTTCTCCCTCTCCTCCTCCTGCACTGCAGCTGCTCCTACATCGGGAAGGTCCAATCCTGGCGGCCACAGAAGAGCGTCAACTTCTTGCACGGTGTATGCCAAGTCCCTTGCTTGTTCCCGCATCGGATAGAGCAAGTCCATCAATTCAATACTGGCGTGCTGCTCGTGCCGCATGCGTACGACGAGTGCGCATGCGGTGCCTCGACGATGCTGTTGTGTTCTCTTTTTCCCAGGTCGCACAAATGATTGGCGGCACAAGACGAAAGTTCCCCGACATGTGTATGCGTGTCCCCGCTCCCGCGAGGTCCGATGGCAGAGCGATGAACCCCATAGAAGTCACTGAAAGGAAATTCGGTACCCTTCCTGCATGTCGCTCGCGCTTGCCGCAAGGAAGACGCCGATACGTGGGGGGAGGAGGAGGAGGAGGAGGAGGAGGAGGAGGAGGAGGAGGAGGAGGAGGAGGAGGAATGGTTTGAGCTGGAGGGGAGCTTTGGGCGGACCAACGCGCGAAGATTCCATCATTTGCCACTCCCCCCTCTCTTGTTCATATTCTGCCCATCTCTTCTCATATTACTCATCCTCTTGCTTCTCGTTGTCGTCGCCCTCCTTCTCGTCCTCCTTCGCTTCGTTGGATTGCCTCTGCGGTCATCGCGTCGTCGCCCTTCTTCGCTTCCAGAGAACGCGTCCGCCGCCATCTGTCTCTGCGATATATGACGTACGTAGTCGGCCTCCTCCACTTCAAGAGGTTACGTTCGTCGTCGTCGCGTCATCGGCCTCCTCCAGCGCCATTTTTACTGGCTCGGGGATTCTGTCTGCCCCGCGGCCCCATTGGAAGGCAACCCGTGGGCCTCGCACCCGCTCTTCGCTGGCCAAGTCGCCATCAGGCAGCTCCGACGTGGTCGCGGACAGGAGGAGGAGGAGGCCCAGGATGCTTCAGCGAGGCTGTTCAGGAGCCCTCCCGCCCACAACCCCCCCTCGTCACCAGCCCCTACAGGCATTCCCTTTTCACCTGCGGGAGGCGTTCCCGTCCTGGACGGGCGCCCCACGGGCCTGCCACTCACTCGAGGGCCAGCGTGGACAAGGGCCCGCCTTCGACACGCCTGGACCGCACTACCGACGCGTTTGGTGGTGTGACGAGGGTGTGTTGCCAATGCGCGCGCAAGGGGAGAGATGGCACAGCGCAATGGAGCGCGATGGAGAAGGGAAGAGGGGAAGGAGGACGCGTTGGAGGGGAAGGACAGGCAGGAGGAGGAGGAGGGGGAGGAGTAGGAGTAGGAGTAGGAGGAGGGGGGCAGGCATGAGGATGGTGGAGGAGGGGGGAGGCTTGAGGGGCATTATGGGGAGGGTGAGGAGGATGAAGAGGAAGAGAGGAGGAAGAGGAGGAGGAGGCGGAGGAGGAGGAACCGGACTCTGTGCCAGGCAATCTTGACATGGCCGCGAGCAGGTCGACGACGGCGTCGCCCTCGAGTGAGCTTGAGGCGGACCCGAAGCTGAACCACCTGGTGGCGGCCCAATTGTGTAAAACGAAGATGTGCGCCATGTACGCCAGAGGTTCCCCCCATCGGTTGCGGAGTGTCCGTGCCTCTCTAGCAACGGAACGCCAGGGATTATCGGGAATGTCGAAAGGAAGAGGGAGGAGAAGTGGGGGAGGAGGAGGAGGAGAAGGAGGAGGAGGATGAGGAGGAGGAGGAGGAGTAGGATGAGGAGGAGGAGGAGGAGGCGGAGGAGGAGGAGGCGGAGGAGGACGAGGCAGACGATGATGACGAGGCGATGATGATACGATGATGATGATACGATGATGATGATCATGATGATTCTGATGATGATGGTGATGATGATGACGATGACCATGATATTGATGGTACTGCTGTTGATGATGATGGCGACGATGATGATGATGAGTATGATATACTGCTGATTTGTGGGGATGATGATGACCAACATGATGATTCTAATGACGATGATGATGATGCTGCTGATTATGATGGTAACGATGCTGATGATGCTGATGACAATGACGATGATGCTGATGATGACGATGACGCTGATTATGATGATGATGCTGATGCTGATGTTGAAGACGATGATGCTGATTTTGATGATTATTATTGTGATGATGATGGTGATGGCGATGGTGATGCTGATGATGATGGTGATGGTGATGATGCCGATGATGATAATGATGATGCTGGTGCTGCTGATGCTGCTGATGATGATGATGCTGGTGATGGTGATGATGATGTTGATGATGATGATGATGCTGATGCTGATGCTGATGCTGATGGTGGTGGTGGTGCTTTTCGTTGTGTTGATGCTGCTGATGATGATGCTGGTGATGAGGATCATGCTGATACTGATGATGATGACGATAGTGATGATGGTGGTGGTGATGATGATACTGCTGCTGCTGATGATGCTGCTGATGATGGTGATGGTGGTGATGGTGATAGTGATGATGGGGGTGGTGATGCTGCTGATGATGATGATGGTGATGATGCTGGTGATGATGATGATACTGGTGCTGGTGGTGATGGTGATGATGATGATGCTGCTGATGATGGTGAATATGATGATGATGAAGATGATGATGATGATGATGATGATGATGATGATGATGACGATGACGATGATAATGCTGATGATGATGATGATGATGGTGGTGGTGGTGGTGATGGTGGTGGTGGTGATGATGCTGATGATGATGACGGCGATGGTGATGATGATGACTATGATGATGATGATGATGATGAACCGCTGATGATGATGATGGTGGTGATGATGATGATGCTGATGATTCTGATGATGATGATGATGCTGATGATGATGATGATGGTCATGCTGATGATGATGATGATGATGATGATGATGATGATGATGATGCTGATGCTGATGCTGATGATGATGATGATGATGATGATGATGATGATGATGATGATGATGATGATGGTGCGGCGGAGGAGGAGGATGAGGAACATGAGGACGCGGCTAAGGAGGCAGAGGCGCAGGAGGAGGAGGCGGAGGCGGAGGAGGAGTAGGAGGCGGAGGAGGATGAAGAGGACGAGGAGGGAGAGGAGGTGGAGGAGGAGGAGGAGGAGGAGAAGGAGTAGGAGGAGGCGGGGGAGGCGGAGGAGCAGGAGGAGGAGGAGGATGAGCAGGAGGATGATGATGAGGAGGAGGAGGAGGAGGGGGAGGGGGAGGAAGGAAACGGAGGCGGAGGAGAAGGCGGAGGCGGATGCGGAGGAAGAGGAGGAGGGGGAGGCGGAGGAGGAGGAGGAGGAGGAGGAGGGGGAGGAGGAGGAAGGTTTTGGGCTCAAGACTGGGTCGCCCTCAGGTGGGTAGCCCAGCAGCCTGGCCTTTCGCGAGGCGCGAGCAGGGGCTCGCGTCCGCAACCATTCAGTCCCGCGCTCGCAGCCGCGATCGTTCTCGCGAGCCCGCGTGGCACCGTCGCGAGCGGCGCGCTCGCGGCACAGCGCGCACGCTCCTGCGGGTGCTACGAGCTGGACAGCTTCTCTCTCATCATCACAGCGCCCAGCGCCAGCCAGAGCCACCACGACAGTCTTACGAGGAAGTCGACATGGCCTCTCTGCCAGGATGGACCTGCGGCTCCTGCAACGAACGAGTCCAACACTGGCAGTGGTACTGTGCTTGCGGTGGTGCTTTCGCGGACAGGCGCAAGAGGTCACACAGTCAGCCTCGGCGGCCGCACTCAGCCAGCAAGTCGCACAAGGGCGCCTCCTCTCGCCAGCCGTGGGTGCAGATCGAGCCCAAGGCGCGGCCAGATTCCTCCAGGAGGCCGCCGCCAGATCAGGGTCGCCACCGAGCTCCTCAGGATCGCGGGCGGCAGCCGCGTGTCGAGGACAAGGAGACGGCCGAGGCCTGCAAGGCAGTCGAGCGCTACCTCTCGAGGCTGGTCCCCGCCACGCAGCAGTTCGCTGAGGCGCACCCCAGCTGGGGCGAGTGGCAGGTCCCGACGGACATGCGCCACATGCAGGCGTTCAAGGACAGGCTCAGCGCTCGTATGACGACGCTGGCCAAGGCGGCGGTGGCAGCGCTGACGGCCCGCAAAGGCGACGAGGATTTCAAGGAGGAGCTTGGCATGCTCCGCTATTGCCAGGACCAGCTGCTGCCGCTGAAGGAGCAGCGCGAGCAAGCACTGACCCGGCTCAACGAGGCGAAGGACCGCCTGCACAACACCTATGCCAGGCTCAATGTGCTCGAGGCACAGGCCGAAGAAGGCCGCGAGGAGGTGGGGGACTTGAATCAGAGCTTGACCGACATCGACAACAAGATTAAGGCCGATATCGCAGATATTATCCAGGGGACTCCGAGTACCATGGCAGTGGGACCAGGTACAGCTCAGGGTACAGCACCTCCGAGCCCAGGGCTGCCAGCCGAGGCGGTTTCGTTTCGAGAGCAGCGCGATGCAGCACTTCAGCAGCGCGACCTCATCTACCAGCACAATCAACAGATGGAGGCGCAGATGAGGCTGATGCATCAGTACATGCTGAACCACTGTGCTACGGCAGCTCCACCACCAGCAGGCCCCTTCCCAACGCCTCAGGCGGCCGAGCCAGTGTCGGCGCCAGCGGTGGGGTTTCCAGCAGGAGGGATTACAGCATCGGCGCCGGCTTCCCTCACAGATGCTCAGCTCCAGGCGGCCATCATCGAGATGTGCCCGGCTCAGGGTATCCCTATTCCTGCGACGTTGATGCCAGCAGCAACGGCGGCTCCTCCTGGGACGCGGACGGCAGCGCCAGTTGCAGCGGCAGTTCCAGGGGCACCAGCGACCGCAGCTCCAGGGGCGCCAGCGGCGGCGGCCACAGCACCCGAGGACAAACCAGTTCCTGGAACGCCTGGACCGACTCAGATGTGGGGCCCCCCGCCGACCCAGGAGACACCTTACGTGGCGCCCGACCATTTCGCCCCGACCCAGATCAATCCCAGTCCGGAGCAGCTCCGTGGCCCTCAGAGATACATCGACCACAATGGCAAGATGTGCTTCGAGGGCAAAGGCGAGGCCGCCAAGGAGAGGAGTCGGTCGCCTCCAGCGGGCGAGCCCGCCCATGTGTGCCAACGTCTAGCAGGCAACGCATAGGGATCTCCTGGGGCTACGTCCACACGCAGTTTCATGATCCTGACCGTCATGGAGATATGGGTGGGGCCAGCGCCTATCTATCTGAGCCGCCGTATTCAGTTCCTGTTTTGACCTCTCACACTTTGCTACAGCACGCGGGTCTAGACGTGCTCAATACTTCCTCTCTCCCTACCTCGGCGTGCGTGGCCTCTCCTGGGCCGACCGATGCCAGCGCCTTCCGGCAGCCTTTGCGCACAGCAGTCCCCGCTCCGCTACCAGAATTTGCGTTTGCGAACGCCGGCAGAGGGCACGAGCCAGCGTTTGAGAGCCAAGTCTCGCTAGTCATGGATCGAGCCACTTGCGGGGGCGGCGGGTGGGGGACGGGGGGGGGAACGACGACAACCGACTTAAGTTTGCGAGTAACTCCGGGTTTGAGCCAATCGCACAATGCCAACTGCATGCTGCCGGCAGCTCTTCTAGTGTCGGGGCTGGGTCGAGGGGCCATCGTGATTGCTCGGGCGCCTGGAAAATGGGCTCCTTTCGTAGGCACGTTCAGCGACTGGAACCCCCAGTGATGGCAGATACCTCTTCTCCTCCATCCTCCAAGCCTGCCCCGCCTGGCTTGCTCGAAGCCTGTGAGGCCTCCGAGCGCTTGGCTGAGAGGCTTTCGTACAAGCTTAAGCCCTGGTACTATAATGCCGTTTTCATGTCAGATGACAAGGCGAAGGCCCAGTGGCTTGAAGACTGCGTTCCGTGGGTCGAAGCATACTTGCACACCCTGCCAGATTTCCATCCGCTCTTCCACCCGATATACGGTATCAACAGCAGGCGCGCGTGGCGCAGTCAGGCGGAAATAATCTGCAGTGAGGCCTGGCAAATGTCAGGATATCGTCGCTCAGCATATCTTCGGCGTCTCGATCGCACGAGGACCGCCTGCCCGACTCAGCATGGTCTGGAGTTACAGGGCGCTCTAGACGCCTACCTCCGAGCAAGGCATTGGATCTCTGTCGAGGCAGGCCGCCCAGGCCATCTCGCCAATCCACTCTGGTCTGGGCAAGCGTGGCGTTTTTGGGAGTCCGATCTCCACTCGCACGACTGCCAGCCGCCCGCCTCCACGTCTGAGCCGTCAACCGAAACTACTTTTCCCTCGGTCCCGCCTCCTCCAGGCCAAGACGGCCAGGATGCGGAGGCGCAGGGCCCAAGGGGCCCTGGCCGCGCGGCTTCTTCCAGGGACCCGCCGCCCGACGCCAGCGAAAGCTCAGACTCCAGCCTTTTTGCAACATTTTGTTAGCACTCCTAGGCTCTCTTCGCGTGGCGATACATATGCTGCCACGTCAGCTTCCTCGCAAGATCCAGCCACCATTCTGGCCCAGACTACTGCTGGCCACACCGGCCACGAGCAGGAGCTAAGGGACCTTGGCGCCCTGTCCGCGGGGTCGCCGTCGGGATCGCACGCGCACTCCAGCGAGGATTCTGA